TATGACATGATTGTGCTGCTCCCAATTGAGACAAAGAATATCACCACTTTACAAGACACCAAATATACCTTAGTGGGAAATTGTCTTCAGAACTGTGTGTGGTTCTGGTCACTCCATTTGGACAGATGCATTAAAGTAGAAATAGCTGCTGAGAAGGGTGATGGTAAGAAGGAAAGCCAGTTTTATCAGGGAGGAATAGAAGAACTTGGCTTTCATAGTCTCGCAAAAAGCTGAGAAAAAGTATATTACTGGTTGTAGGTAAATGGAAATTAAATTCCAGGGTGGAAAGCATCTATTTAAGTGAAAAGATAATGGGCACAATCAAAAGTCAATACAAGCTAACCATTATTGTGTTTACGTTAGAAATCAAAAGATTTGGTGCTGGCAGAGAACAGGGCTTCTGGATTAGTCTTGGACATCGGAGCAGTGCACATGAAAGGCTGACTGATTTTAAAATGAATCTTCACCAGTTTTTGAAAGGGATTAGATGATGTGGTACCTATGGTTATCACGGGACTAGACCCCGTGATCTGGGAGATCTTTTCTAATTGTGTGCAGAATAAGATGGATTTGTGCCTCGACTGGGAATCAAAAATAACATGATTAAATTCATCATATTTATCTGCCTTTTGGCTACAATTTGAGCACTTTCCCTGTGTGGTAAGAATATGTACAGTCCCATGCTTAATTTTAATGGTGGTCAAAGAACAAAAATTGCTGGAATAGAGGGAAACATCAGAATATGGTCTTGTTCCTTTTTCTCTGCCCTCTCTGAAAGTTGAACCTAAAGTAGGAATGTGGGTAATAGCACTGCCACTGGGGATCTCTCAAAAGGGGGAAAAACTGTTCACTTTACATTCACTGACTTTAATGTAAGCACCTTAATGAATGAATGTTAAGTGTCTGACAACCTGGCCCCAATTAAAGAATACATTTTAAGGCATTTTCAGGCATATTACTTATGGAGTTGTGGAAGAGCTGCCACCAATTCTTCTATGAACAAGATGCAACAGAGCTAACAGGTAGACTGTGAAACCAAATTTGCCTCAGACTCTTTCCTGCATGACAGAACATTCAGGGAAGAATTTCCACAAATCTGTGCTTGATTCAGTGCCTGGAGATACGAGAGGAAATGGGAAGCAGATCTAATCTTTGTTTCTTTTCCTTGGCAATTTTAGTTCATGAAAATACTCTCTGTGCCCCGAAATGCAAGTCTTCCTCTGCTGATCTCACTTTCTTCTCTCTACAGTCTTTAAACAAAACAATGTGATATTACCATTGGCTTAGATTGAGAAGTTGCTGTGCTAGCTAAAAAGTTGGCACCACACCTTCTATTCAGAATGCTGCACGTTGGTGGTGTCTGTTCAGATAACCTCTAGCTACAGTTGAGTAATACCACAAACGGGGAAAACCCTAGGGAAATAGGAAAATCCCTAACTGTTTGTGCATTGTGTAAGTATATTTTGCTTAGGCTCTTTGCCCAAGCAGATATGAATCAAAGATGCTCTCTGTATAGGAGTAAAATGTACTATCATGTTCAGGATCTTATTTTTGCATAAAAGACACCCATGGCATTTGTGAAAGGGGAAGAAAATTTCCATTCTGGTTTTAGTGTGGTATGTTTTTCCATTGCATTCATCACTGAAAATTCCTGAAAACAAAAGATATAGAAAGTGGGAGAGGAACTTGATTAATTTATTTGAGTTCTTTGAGACAAACAGTCTGTTTTGACTATTTTGCAAAATGATTATAAAAGAAAATACACCCCCCCCCCCTTGGTATTGTAAAATAAAAAGATACACTAAAAATAAGGAATTGAGCTACGACCAAATGCTCGCTGTAACTGGCAAGTGTTTATGCAAATGTTTGATTATGTAAACCTTCCCAACAAATCCTCCCTCAGAAAAAACAAGTGCCCAAGAATGACAAAACATCTTCCTACCAGAACAAAAATCACTGCTAGATATGTTTCTTTTTTCCCAAGGAGAAGATGAGAAAATAAATGCAAGACGGTACTGGAAAGTGCTCAGATGGTAGGATTCACCTGAGCAATAGTGAAAAACAATAATTAATTAGGACAGACTAGAAGGTATAGGAGGATTTCTGCATCATCCCACAGTCCCACAGAAGAAACCCACAGGGTGGGGTTTTTTTCATGTTTGTAACTTAAGATCATTTATTTACATACAGTTTGCTTTTTTCCAGTGTCATAACAGGGGCTCCAGAGCACTGGCCTTCTTTAAGTAAAAGGCTGAATCCTCTGCGTTTTGTGAGAATTTTGTCATTTACTTCAATGTAATTTTTGCAGCATGATTGCAACCAGAGAGAATGGTTAGAGAAGTTAGTTTAAAGATGACGGTCTAAGAAATTTTGACTGACAATTGGGAACTTCTCAAGCCGCCTAACCAAAATATTTTCAATAGTCTGGCTGCAAAATGAGAAGTTAAAAATACAGAAGTAATTTGCTAAATTATCAACCTCATGAGAGATTAATTTCTTCCAGTAAGCAGTGGCTCAGCAATCACTTGATCCAACAGTTAGGTTTGCTTACCAAGAAAGCTAGCTCCCTAACTCACTCGCTCAATTTTTTTGCAGTAATTTTGTATATTTGTCTGTCCCACTCCCTAAGGACATGGAGAACCTCAAGTAAAGAGACTGAACTCAAATTGTCCTTCTGCATATTCCTGCAGGGTTTGATTAGAAATAATTCAAAACCAGGGCTTTGAAACAGCAGTTAAAATTCCAGTAGTTTTATATGAGCTGGCATGTTCCACTTCTATTGGTTTAGTGTTGCACTGAATTATTCAGAAAGCTATAGTCTTCTTTCTATTGATGAATGTGCATTGGGAGAATCAGCAAACTACCAATGAAGCTTTTTTTTGGGGGGGAGCAGAAATAATTAATAAATGACAAATATTTCTATGAACATGTTACAGCAGAAATGAGGCCTCATCAGTTACATTTTTCAGTCCTTGAGGGGAATTTGAATAATTTATGAAACAATTGAAATAGAAGTACCTCAGTTTTAGAACAGTTATGTAAAGATTTCCTTTACAGAATCATAGCATAGTTTGGGTTGGAAGGGACCTTTAAAGGTCGTCTAGTCCCCCCTCCCCTGCAGTGGCCAGGGACATCTTCAACTAGATCAGGTTGCTCAGAGCCCCATCCAACCTGGCCTTGAATGTTTCCAGGGATGGGGCATCTACCGCCTCTCTGGGCAACCTGTTCCCATGTTTCACCACCCTCATTGTAAAAAATGCCTTCCTTATGTCCAGTCTAAACGTACCCTCTTTTAGTTTAAAACCATTACTTGTCCTATCGCAACAGGCCCTACTTCTTTGAGTGTTGATGTAGTATTGTGTAGAAACAGCCGAAGTAGTATCTTTAACAATGTCAAAAGTAATTTTTGTAGTCTTCAGTCTATGAAAGTATATGAACATCTCTGTCTTATTATAAAAAGTGGTTTAAAATACCACCTTTTGTGCATCTGCACTTTTATGAGTCATAGTAACAAACGGCCAATTGTAAAAGATGACAGCTTAGCTCCAGAAGTGATTATTAAAAATAAAAGTGCGAAAAGGATAAAGGAATGAGAACTAATACAGTTTGGATACTGGTCACTGGTTTTCTAAAGGCCTTCTTTAAAAACAAGCTTATCTAACTACAAACTTAAAAGCAGCAATGAAGGACAGAAAACACACTTCTCGGGTACTCTAGGCAGCTGCCACAGGGTAGCTAACATGCTGTCATTTCTCACCTGCAGCAATAATGATTTTGCTCTACAGCTATGTTTATGAGGAGGACAGAATTACCTGTGGACAAAAGCCTCATGGAAGACCAAGCAATAGTTATTTTATGATGTGCTAATGCTTACCCAGGCTGCAGTCTCTGTGTTTGTCTACAACTGGAGAACTTCCAAACGTCCACTGAGAGAATTTGCTGGCTCTAAAACTCATAGATTGTTGGCTTATTGACAAGATCCTAAAATGTTTTAAGAAGACTGAAAGCTGCCAGTCTGTTTGAGAGCAGAGGAGACAAGGTGGTGCCTGCTTCTTTTGTGGATGTGACAAAAGCATCTCTGTGAATGAGACACTGATTTTAAAGGAAAGCAAAGGAGAACATATATGCTGTATACAAAGGAATATTGGTATAAGTGCTATGTCAGAAACTTGAATGCCAGAACAGCATAAAACGGTATTTGCTGGCTAAGTAATGGTCTTTCTTTAGAATGTCATGCATAGTCGTCAAAGTAAGATTTGTTATTTTTATACTCTACAGAATTTTAGTGTGTGGTTAAGTGTTTATTTTACTGGGAAAATAGATATAGTCTGTCTGAAAGATAGCTGGAGACTTGTTAAAATCTCAGTGTCAGGTTCACTATGCCTCTTACAAAAACACTTTCCCATTTGAACATGGTAAGTACTGTGCCTGAGTAACTTCATCTTCAGGATTCTGAGCCAGATAGTTCTCAGAAATAAAAAGGCAAGTCTTATTTCTAAACTTCATTTGTGATTATTGTGATATTTCCTTCCATTGGCCTAATGTGATCTTCTAAAAATTATATAATATTCAGTAGTGTTTTAGATGTCTTCCACTAAAAAATCACTTGGGTTTTTTGCCCTGGTATGAAGCAGTCCATTGTAAAGTTTGACAAAACAATAAATAAGCTATTGGTCAGTGTGAATGGTAGTACCCGATAAAATGATGTCTGTATTTGATGGAACTGTAGTACTTATAGCAATTGCAGCTCAGTAGAAATACATGAAAATAAGGCTAATGCTGGTCTTGTGTCCCCATATGTATCAGGCTGTCATATGCAGTAGTGATGTGCATTTTCACTGTATTTGAAAATCTCTTTTTTTGTCTTGAAAATTATTTCTGTTGTGGACTGTGAATACGTTTACTTGTTTAAGGTATGTTTATATTTGTGTACAATGATAAAGCAATATTTATTTTTATTGTTACCTCAGCTTTTATAATATTTTTGTTTCTGTTTGCAGGGGATTCATTGTAAAAGCAAACCTTCCAGTGAGTATATGTCATTCATATTTTTACTACATTTGTTTTTGAAAAGTAAACATACTTTATTGCAGATAATATATCCACTTTCCTGGTGATACCAGCTCACTGTCATGACAGTATTTACCACCAGTTTGTGGTAATGTACAAAACATTGGAAATTGGTAGGCTCTGATAAGTAATAGGTTAATAATGACTGTGCATTGTTGCTTTATAATTTTCCTTACCATAGATGGTAATTGGGAGAATTGCTTAGTCATTTCACATGTTTTTATTGCTTCTACTTATTATTATTGCCTACAGTAATAACATAGGCTCTTGAATTACCTGAACTCTGAAGCCTCCATCAATCACTTCTCCAGTGCACACAGTCACTTGACAGGGAGGTACGAGGCAGCTGCCTTGCAGGCAGTCCCTTCTGAGAAGACAGTCCTAGCTGGAGGTCCAGCTCTGAGCACTGCTTGTCTCCAGAGTGCCTTTCCTGGATCTGTGTGGCAGAGTCCACAGACAGGCAGCAACTGCAATCCTGAGCCACAAGCATGTGAGATGCTGATGCTATGGTGTGGGCCGTGAGCCGAACATCAGCTGTGATGATTCTTGCTCTGAAAGCACGGTATTTATGGGACACGTGTTGAGGTGGAGAGAAAGAACAAAGCTGTGGAAGGGATGCAGTTGAAAGTCCCATCTGAAAAAGTCTCTAGTCTTCTGCTGATGAGCAGAGCGAACCATCAGTGGCTGGTTCAAGGATTGTGAATGAATCTTTTTAGGATTAAGCAGCTGAGTTCTAGTTATACAAACTACGTGGAAGATAGAAGAAGAAACAGGGGCGTTGCCATTTGCTCTGCCTAGATGAAGCATGCCTTCATGCCCTCAGGCAGCACAGGCTGAGGAAATCAAACCCTTCAACCCTAGTCTCAAAGGGAAGGACACCTGCAATACTGTTGGTTATGAGTTAAAAATCTGTGCCGGGTATTACACAAATGCAGATCTAGATAGTGGAGACTCACTGCAGGTACCATGAGGTGGTGATTCATTCAACCCATTTTAGGACAAGGTGATTTATGTGCTGGGAGGGAGGCGACAGGGCTTCTCCCTCTCTGTTGACTGCCAGAGGTGCTTAGATGATGGACATAAGCTTAAACTAGATGTTTAGCTTTTAACTGGATATAGACATTGGGCACTGAAGAGTTTGTAAACTGAAGATCCTTATCTTTCAAGATTATGTACATGAAGCAGAGCTGGTTGTAGGTTTTCAGTGCTGCCTGAAAATGACTTGTCAGCTATCTTTAATACAAGTAACATGTAGGATGACTCAGCCTTATAGGGGTGATGAAAAACCATTTTTTTTAGTCTTCATCCTAATTCACTTGTGCAACAGTGGGTGTATATTAATTTCCATACTTCCTTTTCTATAGTCATTCTTTTTATTATTTATTATTTGAGGTAAAATTACCTTAAAAGACCTTAACTGTATAATAGAGCACCTTTGCAGTAGTCATTGCTTTTAGCTGCAACAAATAGATGACACTATTTCCTAGAATTTGCAGCTATCAGCTCAGTAGTATTTGGCAACATAGCTTTGACTCTGCCTTCTCCCTCCTGCTCTTCTAGACTTTAGTAGTACATAAGGGCTACTGTAGTATTTGAAATGCACTGTAATATATCCAGACATTGTTATCAATATATCAATGATTTAAAAAAAGCCTTACATTCTCAGAAAGTGTATTTGGCACGGTATATCACCACGTTGTCCCACGTCCTTGAAAGTTTGAAATATTTTCTGAACATACAACTGTGAAACTGGTCTAATTTACTGTGCATTGCAATCTATTGTGAAAGAGAGGCTGCCAGTCTGAAATTTAATCAATTTCATAATTGGTGTAAGTACTTTTAAGTAGCGAATTTTGGTATATATTAACTGAAGTGCACCATGTGGTTATCTTAGGAGAGCATATCTAGTTTGTTTATGAATTTTGTTGAATCATCCTAATGCACAGATGCAGCAGATACTGTGGTAAATCATATGCAAATAGGTTTGAAATGCTACTGTAATTTATACTCATGGAATGATGCTCCAGTGAAGCAATTTTAGTGTGCTTTAGATACGCTCAAAAATTTAGCACTGTCAGTATACTAGGTATTTGAGATTCTTACAATTCTTGTAGGGAAGAAATACCAGAAAAAAACCCCAAACAGTTAGGATCTTCTGTTAGGTGTTGGCCTGGACCTGTTATTAATGGGTTTTCTCTGCCATTTTTTTTTCTGTTCTCCAATTTCACCTTCTTGCCTGAGGCTTCAAATTATCCATCTAATCATTTCTATTGCGTATTCATTGCTCAGCTCTGGCTTCTATTATCCAAGTGTACATAAGGTATGTTTTGCTGTTGTGACAGTTCTGGGTTGATTGCTGCATCATCAGATAAAAAAATAATCTGCTGTGGTTGAGCTGATGGCAAAAGTACAAGGAAAGTGTCTACATGCTGAATAATAAGCCTTGGCTTCTTTATGCCTGGGCTTATATGTGTCCATAATTAAGGAATCTTTTATTACAGCAACAATCCCTCTCTCATGTAGGGCTAATTACAGTTATAATTCATAAACATAAAATTCAGGCAACATTTACTTATCAGATGGTTTGTGTAGCAAGATGTATCTTTATGTCTTCTGGGGTGTAGATCAAACTACTCGTGAGAAAAGGGAAGAGGTATGTGTTCCAGAGAAAACTAACGGGGGGATTAAAAGATGGTAAGGTAGGAGTTTACTGAAGAATTAGTCAGAAATGAGTCTCATACTGTGATGATTTATTGCATGAAAATTATTTTCTGTCAGCTCTTCCTTGTATCATATATTTATTGTGATCCAAAGCTAATATCCTCATGCATGATATGATCAATTTAAATTATTATTAATGAGCAGCATATTTTGCAATTGTCAAAATGTATCCTAAAATTAATGGAAAAAATCCAAAGTGGAAGAGCAATTTATTTTATCCAGTGTATTACTTATTTGTTCTCATTTTGAAGGTAGAAACTGTGATCAAGGAGGACAGTGTCCCTGCTTACGGACAGACAGTAGTCCCTAAAACTGTGTTTGTACATCTGCCTGATACTGATCCATTGTCAGTAATGCACATAGGTATGACTTAGGATTCTCCTGAGATAGTTCCAAGCTTGTGACATCTGATAATACCATACCTCAAGCAGTAGTAACTAAGGATTGAATTCAATTAAGTCATGACAGTCTCTCCTAAAAATAAGTAGCGTCAAATAATCTGGTCAAATTCATCCAAATTGAATACTTCGTAAAGAACTGTCAGCTTTGACAATGTGTATATATACATATACATTGCTTTTCCCTTAAATCATTTCTACACAGACATGGGAATGGGCAAGATAATAGGCCTGGATCAAGAAAGTTACACCAACAACCAAGGAATTAAGCAGAAACAGTTGGTCCTGGGTACCATTTGGTATCCACAACTGCACGTCATACGATGTAGTCAAGAAAATATATTTTTGAGCAAAGAGAAAGAGCTAAAACTAATCATCACTTATCACATTATTAGGAATAATTATCAGGTAGTTCTGCAATATAATAACCTCCCAAGTAACTGTGGGTGGATTGATTGGGTGTTGTACAATAACTCTCCATGCATCCTGATGTACCTTCAGGATTATTACACCACCTATTCTTGGAACATGGAATATAGTGTTCACATCTGGCTGTTGTGTACTGTACTTCTTAAGGCTGCCTCATCTCTGTGGAAACATGGTTACAAATTTTTCAAAAGTCAATGTACTCCACTGCTTGTAATGCCTAATTTGTATATTTTGAATGGTCAGTGTTTTTTCTTTGGTTTGCACAAATTGTTTTCTCTCATTGACAGTATTACCTTGGATAATTGAGAGTTGACTCTACTGTCAGTTGAGGTGGAGTGTCCTTGTTTTTTCCATTCTTTTCCACTTGGTTCATATCAGCATATCCTGTTGCCTCCAAGCTTCATGGTACAAAACCAGGATAATGGAGTGGAGATTCAGGTGTGAAGCGTTTGTCTTTTCTGACTTTTGATATGTATTATGCAGGACTTATTTCTCCTGATACCAAGTGTGAGGGCACCTTAAGGCCTGACAGATTCAAGCCAAGGTACCACATTTATGTCAGCCTATCTTCACGTCCTGCATGTATCAGTATCCAATCCTTGACAATGGGCTTCAGCTGCAACTGGACACTGTGAAAATGAGGGTCTCATAATATAGAAAGAGGTCCTATATAGGTTAATACACTTCCAGTCTTTAAATTTAGAGCACTTTCCTTCATTGGAGGGGTAAGTAAGGGTAAGCCTTGTCCTTCCTCCTCCTCCACATCCTACCTTTCCTCTGTGAGAACTGTGGATGTCTTCCATGTGAGTCAGTGGGCATCCATGCTTGACAGCAATGCTTGGCTAGACATTGAGGGATGCATCCTTTCCTGATGATTTAAGAGTGTTACCCTGTATTTTATGGCAGCCACAGTATCGTGGCACTGCTGTTTCATACTATGCTCTTCGCCATACTAATTGAACTCCTTCTAGGACTATGTTAAACAGCATGACTAATAAGAGTCGAATGTTTTTTTGGTCTTCCAGCCTCTCCCCAGGGGGAGGAGAATGTGCAGTAAAATACTTTTACTTGGGTGTCTTTTAACTTTCATGCTATGGACCGAAGTGAGAAGGGTAAGAAATATTTCAAACAAATTGCTATGATGTAGTTACAGCTAAAATGAGGTATGCTGCATTATATACCACAAAGCTAAGGGACAAAACCCAATTCCCTGGTTATTTGTTTTGATAGTTTCTTGGACTCTTAATTTTTGAGACTACAATGTATGTAAGGTAGAGAAGCCCAAGGAATGCATTGGGGATTAAATCCACTGTACCAAAATAAATTCACAAATAACTAACTGATTTCTGTGCAGGACAGTCTGAGAAGCAGAAAGAGATGAAATATGGCTAACTGGGTGAGATTTGCAGCCTTAAGACTGTTTTTTTTCTTTTACATTAGCTTTCAGAAGGTGGCTGCACAAACTGATGTCCTAAGGCTTTGGGATGACTAAATTTCCATAGGAAAATAAGATGAGACATAGTAGCTGTGTTCTGTGCCTACTGTTTACACCTTGAAGAAGGCCTGAATAATATTTATTCTGCTCTTGCTGTTCTGGTCTAAAGCAGAAGGAAATCCTGTAGATGTGAGGGATTTTTCCATGACTAGGAATGCAATGGTGCCCTCTTGTGTGAAAGTGATATTTTAACAGCAGTTGAGATCATCGGCCAGTCCTAAAATTAAAATACTACCTATGAGAGTGCTCACAATATACAGGTAATGGTTTTGAAAAAAAGTTTAAATAAACTATTAGTCTAGCCACTATCTACCAGATCTGATAGTTTAAAAACACTATTAGTCTAGGTATGCTCTGCTAGCCTTAACTGTTAGAAGTGTGATTCCTTCCTCTTGTGGGTTAACACTTCCCTAAGCCAGGAAATTTATTATCAAACCCCATCTGTAATGTCATTCTTTCCAATCCCCCTGCATTGCTAGTGAAGCCAACTATCTATGTGGGCCGTGTGAAAGTCTTAGCTAAAGTACTGGCTTTGCTGAAGTCAGTGGTGATTTCCCTGCTGATTTCAGTAGAGCTGGAGCTTCACCTTTGGTGCTTTCTCTCCCCCAGATATCCTGTGCACAATGAGATTTCTCTGTCTTTGTGTTTTCATTTTTAGGTGGCATTTTAAACAGCTTCTGCCATGATGCTCCTGCATCTTTTTCTTCTATGGTACTGAAAAGCATGAAGATCTCAACAGTGATGAAATGTGTCCAAGGAAGTGCATGCTCTCTACATTTAAACATTAAAGGAACTCTGAGTCTGGATGGTAGGAAGCAGAATTGCTACTGAATCATTTGTTTACTTTTTATTTATAGCTGTTCGGCCAAATTTTGTTCTGTATTGCAATATTCATGTCCAAGCTGTTTTCATGTAATTATATCAGAAAGATATTTTTTGTGAAACCATTTTACTACAAACCAAGATAAAACCATGGCCCTTCTTGAGGGGATGAGAACTGAGATAATGAATTTGAGACAACTGAATTTTTACTTCCAACGTAATACACTTAACTGGGGCTCTACCAGTGCCTGAAGCATACTGCTGCCCTTTTCTTTCTCACCCTGACATGCGTGCATGCACACGCACACACACACATTATTTCTGTCTGCTCTGGTAATTCAGATGTGAATGACTTCCGCAGCAGAAGAAGAAATAGTTTATATGTCTGAAGTTACAATTCTACACTAAAATAAAATGAAAGCATTCAAACTTTTTGGGCATAGTCCATTTTTACTAACACCCTGCCATTCAAGTCCTTAGTGTGTTACCATTTAGATTTTTTCTGATATTCTTCACTCAGAGTTAATAGGTTTATTTTTTTTAAATTTGCATAAGAATTTGCATAATTAAAGCTTTAATTTATAGCAACCTGTATTAAATCCTTCCTCCTACCCCCACATGGGTGTTATATATAATGCCCCTTTTTTAAACAGAGAGAAAATACATGTGCCTTTCACTCAGAAGGAAAGCTTATGATATGGTATATTTTAATTTATTTTTTTGTTTTTCTTAAAGGTGCCTAAATTATATTTTGAAATCTATTCCTAACTCATTTCAGAGAATATCCGTGGGCTGGAAATATGTTCTCTTTCACTGGACACACAGCAATCTCAGTGCACAAATGTGAGATTTGCAAGAAAAAAAAGCAAGATGCTTAATGGAAAAAAGGTAGACTCCCTTTTTGGGTTGTTTTTCATTTAAATGTTTATGAGCCTTTGGAAAAAATATATTTTGTATCTCCCTTATTTTTCTCTCTTATTGACTTTGTGGAAAACTGCGATGAAATGTATGCTTCAGCATTGTCAAATGAAACTCCATAACAAAATGTCCTTTTATAATCTATAAATTCAATTCTCCACCATTTTTGTACTTCTCCCACTTACCTTTTTACAAGAGAAGCTGCCTCTGCAAAGCCTAATTTTTGTATCAATTTTGCTAGCTTTCTTTTTGTGCCCACCAAATCGTGGGGAAGCTTTTGTAACTCCAATTGCTAGGAAGCACAATGCCACAGGGATTTTAAGTGGATACATATGATTTATTTAAGTCCAACCATGTCAATGGAATTCACACATGTAGAAGACAGCCAAGTGCCTAAGCACTTGTGCACATCTGTCCTAAAGTCATGGTAATAATTGCAACAACAGAGTACATTTTTTTTACTAAACTGAACCCAGAAGTATCTATTAAAATTTACAACTGGGAAAAAAAAAACAACCAAAAACCAAACCATCCTTGACCAACTGTTTAAAAGACATGAATGTTTGCTTTCAATTACTGGTGGGTAACTGTTATTAATCCCATACAAAATGTGTTACTTTGTGTGTTTTGTAAATGTTATATTGATTGCACATGTGAAACAAAGTTTTCTCCCAAACTGCAATTGCAGTTTATGCTCTGTATTACTTGATGATCAAACATCCCTATAGGCAATGCAGAGCCAGCAATTGAACAATTGGTAGCTTTTAGAGTAAGGTAAGTTTATAGGCAAGACTCAACAAACATATTTAATGAAATTTTCTTAGTTTCAGTTCAGTGACTAGAATGGTGACATAAGATGTCTTTTACCTTCCAAATGCCTTGTACCAAATAGGAGTATATCCAACATGAAAACCTATATGGAATTTTTAATAGTTACTGCTATCAGTGAGGGAATGACCTGCTATAACTGGACCTCAACTTTTGTCTCCTAAATTACTTTCTCTCTCACAAACTGTTGCTGGAATGAACAAATTTGCTGAAGTTACCATTAAATGTTTAAACAGACTTTTTTTTTCCTATTCGGCAAGTGTTTTTGCTTGTAAAATGCCTACAAACTGTAACTTTTCGTAGTATGAACTTTCAAAGTTCAATAAGCATTGGGTACCTGTATTTCTATGCTTTTAGGATTATGTGATAGCTTGTAGATACTTGGATTTCTGGAACTGAAGAAGATAGCAACATCCTGGATTAGAAGTAATGATACTCTGCTTCTTTTACATTCTTAATGCTACAATATCTGAGACTGCTTAATGCTCCTTGTAAATATAAATAAATTTAAATAAAGAATGTTGCTTGCTTAACTCTGATAATCAGTGGTTTTCATGTATTCTGGAAGTCACACACAAACTTGATTTTATAAATGTTTTAAACAGGTACAGGTACAATTCAATTGCATTGAAGTCAATGTAGCACAACACATCTATGTGACCATGAAAACAGTACCAAATTACTGTGAAGTCAAGCTGAGTCAGGAATACTATGTTGAAGGTAGGAAAACATCTTAGACCAGAAGTTTTTCAAGAAACATCTTTTCAAAGAAAAAAACCAAACCAAACCAAAAAGTCCCAAATGCAAAGCCAAATCACGTTCTGGGATGGTAGATCATTTACGCCAGGACCAGTCTTATTCTACATTTCGATGATTTATTTTGTGCATATAAATATCTGACTCACTATAAAAAACAGAGACCAGAGTTTGTATCTAACAGTACATGGAAAACTGAACTACATTATGCATTTGTCCTAACTGGCCTTCTTGTGATTGGCATGTGCTATTTCTCTGCCTGCAGGTTCAGTCCTGTGTATTCTCTTGGCATAAGATGGAGCCTCTGCTTCTCTTTGTAGTTAGGCCACAGGTGGTTTCAGAGACTGAGGAAAGCTTAAGAACAAAATGTAAAGAAATTTCTTTTTACTTTCATTAGCTAGCTGTTCTATTGCTGGTTTTCATGTAACTGGATAAGATAAGGTAGCACTTTTCCATGTTTTGGGGGTAAAATACCTGCCATATGCATATAAAAATAGATTCAGCACTGTGGTCTGACCAAGATACAGTGTGGCTAGTGGAGATAAGTGCACCAAATGGTGGTGCAAAAAATGAAATGAGACTCCTTGTTTGATCCAGTGCCTGGGATTGTCCTGCCTTCCCATCTCCAGAGCCTGTTGGTGGGTGGCTCTTTCCCTTGCCCCTTGGTACAGTATCATCCCTTGCACACAGTATCAGACACATAGTGTCTGTTTCATGCTTTCATAGAAGTAAAGCCTTTTTGTATTTAAAAAGCCTTTTGTTTTCTTGATAAACCCCAATTCACTATTGAAGTAGATACGTACTTTGTGAATAAAGAGGGGGGAAAATAACATTCTATAAAGCCCACTTTTAAGACACTTTACAAGGGTGAGTAAACAAGGAAATATTTCTCTGTGAAAAAGAACTATGTGGGGAAATGAGAGAAAAGTGCTGCTCTAATACCGAGTTAAGCAAGGAAAGGTGCAAACAGTAAGCAGCACATTATGAGCTGATTTAGTGTTCTTAAATTAAGATTTAAGTTTTGGAGATACAAATACTCGATATTAATTCTGAAAGTGTTACCTGGCCTCTAATTCTGGTAAGCTTCCTGGGAGCTAAATAGGGTGTTTCTTTCTAAGCCTAGAGTAGAGTCAGAATAGCAAAAATACACAGTTGTTTATAACAGAGTAATAAGCCTGGTAAACAACAGGAGTAGCTTTCAAAGAAAGAATAACTGAAATTGTTATTATGATTATTATTACTTAAATTATTGTTAGGTACTAGGTAAAGAAATGCAATGTTATATCCTAGACTGCCACCTTAAACTGCTGATGAGGTTTTCCAGTAGAAACCCCACACTGATGAGATAGCTTCTTAAGGCAAGTTGTGATATAATCTCTGTTTGTAGCAAGGGTGCTTTTCTTTTTTTGCTGTTTATCTAGCACTGGATGTAAATCTGCCTTTAAAAAGTGGTATTAGAGACCAGTTTCCTGTTGGGAAGCTATTGGATAATTTGGCAGTTTATTTACACAGTTATATAAATAAAGCAGCACTGAAGAAAACTCTGGCTTTTATTTTGCAGATTGCAGAAACAGTGATGTGGGAAAATATATTCCAGCTTGTTCAGGTGAGCTGATCTTATATACAGCTTAAAGCTGTGAGATATTTCTGGTGACCTATACAAAGATATGTTTTCAGAGCTGAATAAGCAGGGAAAAAAATGATGATTTAGAACTGCCACTACTTATAATTACCGTGTAGTTGATAGGTAATGTCCTGGAAAATGTGTTTCTTTATATTGACTTGGAAATGCTAGAGAGCAGATATGTCAAACATATTGACAACCTACTTAATGCTTAAAATTTTGGAAATGGGTTTGTGTCCTTTTCATGCGCTTCGGATGGCTGGTTTTATATTTTGCCTATAGACAGATCTCATAAACAGATTGAAATTAATTTGCCAAACTGCTATCCTGATTTTGGCATACCCATGAATATATAAAAAAGGAAACATCCCCCCACATATTGTATTTGTCTAACATAGTTGCACATATTCTCTATGAAAGGAAGTTGCAACCTTGGGATAATCAGCTTTTGTAGTAGTATTAGTGTGTATATTTCAAATATTTGTACATGAACTACATAAGATTTCAAGTACTAAGGCTGAGGTAAAATCAGTAAGTGTCCTAGTCTCTCAGTATTGCCAGTGCTAATTTAAAACTGAATAATGTTGAGATTTATTCTCATTAAAATTATTATGTGTCATAAAATAAGAATACCTTTAGGAGTATCAGGATATAAAAAGAATTAATTCAAACATCCTAGGTAAGAATCTATAGAAGTTGAATTTCATCTCCATCAAGTTATGAAATACATTCTGTATGTTTTCTAAAGAAATAACAAAATAGAAATAATAAAGTAATAAAGGAACAGATGTGATAATTTCATGCTTGAGTTTTCTTTTTCAGCTGGGCAGTTTGATTATAATGTAGACAGGGCAAGGAAAATTATATCAGTGAATGTATCCAACTTTCTTCGAGATCAAGATTATTATGTTCGCCTGTGCCACAAATGGTTTACCTGTGAAGATGTAGGGGCATTTGCTGTGGTGAGTTAAAGCTCAGAGCAATTTGTTGAACTGGTGGGAGGTGACTTGTAGGTAGAAGTGGTCATTGAGGGCATAGTTATAGGAAACGGCCTTCTATATCTTCATGTAGCTTTACTAAAAGTCTTTTACTGTCCTGGATTCATGACCATCTTTTTCATTTCAGATAAAAGGGAAGGAATCTTTAAAATCAGTTTCTCTGAAATATTCTCAGCTACTCCCTTGTCTTTGCATTGAGGTAATACAATCTGGAATTTGGTATATACTTGTGTTTCTGATTAAAGAAATTTATCTGGGATTTGTGCTAAGAAAGGAGGAAAAATCTGTAGAAAAAGGCTTTAGACCTAAGTTTTTCACTAAGGCTTGTCTGACCTTATGATTATGTAAATGTGGAAGAGATTTTTTAGGAAACACTAATTAAAACGTGGAGATAAGAAGAAAATGGGATACAATTTACATTAATTTATGGAAAGTATTGTGTAAGATTAATTTGACTGATTTTTATAAGCAATGAAAAGACAGAAAATTTAATCTGAATTTCAGCATAGCATTTGATATAGTACTGCATGAGAAATGAAAAGAGGAATTGAGGAAGCTGGGAGCGAGAACAAGATTTGTATGGTAGATAATGCCTAGGCTAACTCGACTACTCCTGTTGAATGGGGCTGTGCTAGTAGGAAGGTTATTTAAGGATCACGCTTAGAGCGGTTCTTATATAAATGTTTTCAGCAATGACATGGACACAGAAGGTGGGAACGTGTTAATGAGATTTGCTGATAATACAGTTGAGAGGTGTAATCAAAATGGAAGAGGGTCAGGATAACTGGAAGAGACTAGAGATCTTCATATGTGAAATAACTAAAGGAGGATGAAGTATAACATATGAAGTGCAAGTTCATACACTTACTCTAATAAAAAGAATTCTTGCTGTAAGATGCGAGTCCTCATTTAGAAATAACAGTGGAAGAAAAAAGATCAGGGTCTAATAGTTCATCACAGGATGATTAAACTAACATGCTTACATGATGTAAACGTGAACGAAGGTCTAGTGGGTTAGATTATTCCAAGCTAACAGGAAAGTATCGGCAAGGCCTTTGAAATACTGTAGGCAATTCTTGTATCCATATTCAAGAAAGGTTAATTCAAATGGAAGATGTACATAAAAAATCTAGAATGGTTGGGGAATGGAGAGACTGTCTTATAAAGGAGATTCAAAGAACATGTTTTCATTAGCCTGGTAAAACACATGCAAAGAGAAACTATGTTTGTTATCTAAATACAGATAAGAAGGGTCACTTATAAGGAAAAAGAACAGATATTTTTTAAGCTAAAGCCATTCTTGCCACAAGAATGAAGGGGGATAAACTTCATTCCATGAATATATTCAGGATAGCTACAGATTTTTTTCTGATAATCTGAGAAGTGAGATTTTGGAATATCTTTCATAAAAACAAATAAAAAGTCATCAAACCAATTTAAAATTATCTTGGTAAAATATAAAGATACTATGTGAACCTAGTTTCTCAGTGAATTTTGGGGTAGGATTTACCTTGCCTATTAAAATACCTAAATGTAGATGTCCAGATGTAGATATCTACATTTGAATTAGATGTCCAAACTCTTATAGTCAATAGAGATCTAGTAAATGCAGTCAATTACTCAACTGACCAAATGTAGATGGCTATTTTGGGATGCGCTGGATAGCACTGTAGACTCCACTGGCTACATTGGCTAGATCTTTGTATGGCTACTGTAATAGTAACTTGGGCACTTTAATCACACTCAGATATGTACATTGTAAGCACCTAAAATCAGATACCTTAATATGCGAGTTGAACCACAAGGTCTCTTCCAAGCCTAAGGATTTTTTTTATTCCACTCTGAAAGGTATGAGGTCACTGGAAAGATGTTATTCCTCTCAGCATATACACAGAGAATTCCACAATACAATTGCTGAGCAAAAGATGGGGACTGTGAGTAACACAAACGTTTGCACGTGAATCTAAATAATTAGGGTATAGTAACAGCCATGCACATATACTTGTAGATTGGGTTAAGTGTTAGTCCTCAGATTTTAAGGATACATCCTTTACCGTTACAAAGGCCAGGAGATCTGATGTGATTCTTGAATGTCTTTTGATATCCCTAGAAAGTAATGACACTGTAAGAAACTTAATGAAAATCAAACCGGAAGATTTTCTAAATGAAATTGGGCTAAATATATGACTCAGAAATAGTAGGGATATAGTGTTAAAAGGAATCACCTTAGTTCAACAGCTCCTATCCCCCTAATGATGAACAATAATATAGGTATCTAGTGCAACACATCCTTTTAAAAAACTATTTCCAAAGCTTTCTAATAAACATAGCATCTTTATCTTTGGTGGAAAGGTGTTCTGTCATATTATGTCTGAAATTTTAAAACCTAGTGTATCTGAGAATCTCTAGCTAATGGCCACTTTTTGGGTTGTAGGGTTGGCTGGCAATTCCAGATGCAAGGAGGATACAACTTTGCCCCTTTGAAAATGGCAAGTACTGTGCGATTACTCTTTATATGAGTGATTTTCAGCAGCTCCAGTAGTATGTCGCAATTTGAAATTCATCTAAGGTGAAAACCATAGATTGCAAAACTTCAAGGAAATTATCATACTGTGGGTAGATGAAATAACTTACTTTCAGACCATACTGTTCACCAAATTTATGCCAATATAAGCACTAAGTAACTTTCTAGTCATTTCCCACATTTTCTTAAGTCACACACAAACTGGCCAGAAGGAAGAAAAGCCACTGAGGTCAGCTTTGAAATGCTTATGTGAGAAGAAGGCTTCAAGGAGAGATTTGAAGAAGGTGTCCGAAATCTAACTTAAAGGAAGAAATAGGGACTTGAAAAAGTTATACATTTGACTGCATATGGGAGTTCCCATACTTAATGGGAAAATATTCACACAAAGTGTTCCAGCAAAGTCAGAGTTTGGTCTAAGATGACAGTTGAAAAAGAAATTGTCATATTACATAGGGTTTTAGTGAAAGTTTTACCAGACAGATAGAAAAAAGCATGGGCTGAAAAAGTGTTTTATTGTGTTAAGTCCAACATAAGTACAACAATATTTTTTCCCCAGACTATGCTAAAAAGCCCATTAAGGGATTTTAGTATTTGATTTAAAAAAAGAAAACAACCTTGAGAGAGAATAAAAACACCAACCCATAACAGTGCATCCAAACTCCATTAAACTGCATAGACATTCACTGCAATCCTTTCACATTCTTGCAGGGCCAATACATTTGTGTTAAAATGGAAGCAATTTCCTCTTTCGTAAGCCCAGCCTTCATTTCTGGTTTATTTTATTGTGGCAGAATGCATTGTTTGTGACACTACCATTCCTTTGTAGCAATGGAAGGCAGTTTGACTAAATAAAAAGTGATTTTTTTTTAAATCTATTTATGCAATGGACAGCACTTACAAGAATGCTCAAGCTCTGTCTGTAGCTATGTCTATGTCATGTAGTCAGATCTGTCTTCAAGGTCATAAAAGCAAAGCCTGTTGGCCATCTGCAGTATGAAGTCCTAACCTCTATTCTTAGTAGCTGTTCAGCCTGAGGCTGGATCTCATGGGGCACAGGTTGTTTTCTTCCAAGTTTTCTCCTAGCTCTACCTATTTCCTGTGCTTGGAATGGTTATGCTTTCCAAGTGCAGGAAATTGGGCTCATTAATCCCATGATTCCTTCCTTTCTTCTGTATTCTGCTTCTTTTCCTTCCCTTCCTACTGCAGTCATTCTGCTCCCTGATGCCACTGAATCAGGACTACAGGGATAGCTGAAGCATATGATACAAAGCTTTATGTAGTAAGAGGAAAGGCAGTATGTGCTTTGGCACACTGAAGCTCTTGAAGCTTATTTTTGTCCATTTAGGAAGTTCCAGTGGACAATTACAATTGAAAACTTAACTTACAGCTTTGATAAGGAAGCGAAGATGGGAAATACTGTTTCACAGCTATACTTTTTGTTTGCTCAACTATCCTCCTTGCAGGAATCTCAGGCAATTTTTTAGACTGTAGCACCCAGCTATTCAAGTATATAGGGAGTTCCAGCTTTTAAGCCACATTATTTTCTATTTAAATCTTTCTTTTTCCTAAGTGACAGCTCTGCTGGAATATCTGAAGTAGATTGGTTCTCTTTTTGGCTCATTTATCATTGATGTAATAAAATTGGGATTATAGAATAAGTTCTGTGGTAGGAGGTAATTAACAGTTGTGTATCAGAAAGAAGCTACTCTATGTAATAACTGTTTTGGGTTAATGTAACTAAGAGAAGAAAAAAAGGAAAAAAGAATGTCTATTGGTTAGTAAACAATGTAATTATATGAGACTGAAGATGAATGAGCATCTTTATTATGATGTAAATAAGTAGATCCCATATAGGAGTAAAACAGAAGGAAAGTAAGTCAGGTAATAAGTCAATGAGCAGGCCTGGAAACAAACCTGAGAAGTCTTAATTGTGTGCTAGTCTCTTAACTATTAGGATTACACTTATGTTATATCTACATGATTACAGACTCCTATAACATTTAAAATGTAGCTGTGAAAAATGTCAGAACTGTTGGGACTTTGCAATCAGGTTAAATATTCTCTAAACATTAGCTTTATAGAACATGTCCATTTATTAAAAAGAGCATTTTTTAAAAAGAATCAAAATTTCTAGCAGTTTTTTTAAAACAATAAAAATTTCCACTTCATAGAAAGTTTCAGTATTTTGATATATACACATTGGGACACAAAGTTAAGACAGCAAGAGGCTTGGCAGAATTAAAGGGTCTGGAAGGTTTCTATTAGAAAACATCAAAAGGTTTTAATTCAGGACATTTCTGAGAGAAGCAATATCAATAGGAATTGTTGTTATGCTTGATGTTAGTTGAATTTGGACACTGTGCTTCACTTTGCTATGTTTTCTAGTCATGGGTATTGTTTGTTCACTCCTCTTGAACATCCAACTGGCCACGTTTTCAAGTTTTTTCTTCACAAATAGTTGCAGAAATATATTTTTCTCCTACTTCTGACTATTAGACAAATGTAAGAAAAGAAAGTCAGTATGAAGTGACTAATTTGACCAATCAAATAAATAAGACAGATTTTATTTTATAACAGTGTCTATTTAGGATATCCCCAAATATATGTTGACTAGCTCTGAAATTATGGTTTGCCCAGTATGCATAGAAAGAAGATTATATAAATGCTGTAGAAAAATTATTTATTGTGAATGACTTGTACAGCTTTGTTTACTATTGGAGTTCTTGATATTCAGCCAAAGGCCTGAATTTATCTTCTTATATGTACATTGTGTGCATTTAAGTCCTACACAAGACACACAGAATCGTCTCCAATACCATCTCCAGTCGCTAATGTATGGCTTCATTCCAGTTTACTATACACAGTTAACAGACGGTTCTTGGTTAGGAATTTGCTTGCGTTACACTCCCCCTGTGATTGATGGGCAGAGAATGAACTTCCAGGAGCTTGTGCAGCCTGGTTAAGAACCCTAGTGATGCCTATCTATCACCGTAGTGAGAGACTGGTAAGACTAAGCTCTCAGGCTGAGTACCTCTGGTAAATGCCAACACTTTGGTGGGATGAATTAAAGTTTTACACTGTTACAGCGTGAAACACTGCAGTTCTGATTGTTGAAATGACAAAGAAATGGAAAAGCAATGCTTTTGGTTTTAAGCACATGTGTAGGTTCCAGATTTATGAACAATTTTGATTCATTTTTAGACATCTTGAATAATATTTCGACTCTTTGTGTACAGATACGAAGGCGCTATGGGATAATATTGTTTATAACCCAGCAACACAAACCCTAGCTTGGGAGCCAGCCTGTCCTGTGCTTGTCATGGTTAACCTATGCAGGTTAATGAAGTCTAACGACCACTGTGAAGATATACAAAACTCTTCCAAAAATTCTCCTGAGAAAGTAAGAGCTATGCAGATTTATTCGAACTGTGAGATTGAAGGCCATCACCAAAGACATAATGTGAAGAGCTAGACTTTGGAATAAGAGCATTTGCAGATTCCTCTCTTCTTCTCTGATACTTAAGACTATTCATAATCACAGTCTGTTCTTGTACACTAACCACACGATTTATTCAAAATGCTCACTGACTCACTATTAAGAAATAAAAAGTGGAAATGACTGTGAAGCTAGTAATGTTTGCTAAATTCTTTGGGGTAAATAGGGTCTGCTTTTCATTTATAGTAAAGGCATGATTCATCTGCCCTGACTTTGTTGTCTAAAAGATAGGTGTTCAAGCCAATGCTGTTCGTGTCAGATTCCCTTTAAAGTAAGTGAAACAGACAGATTGGGAGGACAACTCTTCTCATCTGAAGATAGGCATGTAAGAAAGGTTGGAGGGATTTCTGTCTGAAGGTACCTCTTTCTTTTCACTGACTATCACAATAATTGTGATTAGATCAGATTTGGGTATTTAACATTCAGACACTGAAAATGTAAGTGAGATGAACCTAAATCTCTTTAAATATTACTGGAGACATAATGGTACTTTGGTAGGGCACAATTGTTTTGTACTTTATTAAGGTCTCTTTGAAGTACCTTCCTCAACCTGGTCCAATGTCCTGAAATTGTGGGTGTTGATGTGTTGGGTCCCTCAGTTTTTCCAGCACTTATGTTCTAAAGTTAAAAAGGGTTTTCATTGCTTGTATCTTGAGCTGCTTAATACTTCAATCTGAAGTCTCATGACACTGAATGCACTGGAGTTATGAGGTTGGTTAGAATTCTGGCTTTTGTCTTGAAAAGTAGGTTTCAGGCTTTTCCGATTTTGGAGAGAAGCCAGTAAACTTGAGGTAACAACTGAAAAGGCAAATAAAATCAAATACAAATTCTTAATTTTTGAAACTTTATGACTGTTATTCTAATGACATGATTTGGGGGGGGTTGACTCAAGATTGTTGGATGCTTTTTTGATTAGGAACTCCTGGCCAAGTGTTCAGTGATTGTTCAGATTCACCATTTTATGGGTTTCAGCAAAGCTCTGATCTTGCAAAACCAAATATATTTAATTTTACACATGTGAGTCATCCCTGTGGGATTTGTCATCTGCTGACAACAAGCACAACTCATTGCTTGCAGGAGAGGGAAAAAAAAAGAAAAAAAAAGCCTAAAATGAGGTTTGGCTGGTAATGGTCATATCTATTACCCAGAACACAATCCAAGATTAGTTTATTACAGGCAATGAGTGTTCTCCTGTATTTACTCATTGCATTTAATGGCTGAATGTTAATATTCATGGACAGAATGAATTTTCCCTTTTTTTCTAATTAATCCTAAAAGTTTTGATATTGAATTTGGTCCATTTATTGTACCGTAACCTCGAAAAACATCTCTATAGTGTGCTGGAGACTACTGCAGAGATTCCTCAGGTAGTGCTGGCTCCCCCAGTAAATCCACACAATGCTGGATGCTCTAATACTATGCACATGTACTAACTTAGGCCCAAAAGCTATATAACTCTTATCTCTAATTAGGCTGGGGCTTTCTCTGTCAGTGGCAATGCTCCGTATCTCACTGGACTCTTAGAGAACTATCTTCTGTGACCCTATTGTAGACATACCTGAGGACATCCATTATGATCTTCTCAAAAAAGTTGCAGGGAAGAGGTGTTTGGTCATGATGCAGTGTGTTATGCTTAGTCACTTGAGCAACAGTGTTTATTTAAGAAAGATCACTTACATGGGTAGTAATTGTTTATATGAGACAAGGCTTTTTATGGTGAAGTCCTTGAAGGGTAAACAGTTGTTAATCAAGAAAGCAACATTTTGTAGGTCACTTAAGTGGATGTCTAAAATGCAGTCTACATTTAAGTCTTTTCTGGAATAGGGATATGGAAAAATGAAAATTTCTGAACTGAAGGTGGATCAACATTTTTGGGTGTATGCTTAAATGTTCTTCTGAGTTGTTGATGAGTGGTAAATAAGGGACTGAAACAAGGTGACTGTGTAATCAGAATTTTGCACAGAAGCCACCATAGAATCAATTAATTTAGCTCTAATGGGTCAGACTGACTATAAAAAAAGTTACATGTTACAAATAAAAAGAAGCAAATTATTCAGTAATCCAAAGTAGCGGTTGTTTCTATTCTTATTATTTTATGTGATTAACTTTCTGGAATGTTTATAAAGTAGACAAAGCAGTTCCTTTCTCAGTAATCAAATAATGAAAATTTTGGGTAACTGATTTTGTGAAACTAGTTAATGAAACTAGCTAATGCTGAGTGCTTTCCTTTCAAGCAGGTTAAATATTCTCGTGTGGACACTCACCCAAGACTTTGCATGAAGGTAAAGGGATTTCTTTATAAAACACTTATTAACCGCCCTCTTTCTGTCAGCTCTAAAAAAATTAGTTGCTAATGTTCTTTAGGTTCAGTATTTTGTTTCATAGCTCTGATGAATGGGAAGTAAGAATAAAGGAAATGTGAAAGATTAGATTAAAAGGAGGTTCTTTGGAAGTGCAGCAGCAATGATAGATAGGACATAGGTCAGATTGTGCCCTCTGTTTTTTGTGCTTAGGAAAAGCAGGGCAAAAAATGTTTTAGGTCAATGCAAACTTTGAAGCATGCACTAAACTTAATGTATAACGTTTTCCATATTAAATATTTGATAATAAAAATGATCAATACACTACATTTACTGGAGTACCTTTTATTTTTCTAGTCGAGAAAAAAACGCCACATAAGGCTAATGTAGGCATATTATTGTTTTCTTTTAGGTTACTTTTAAGTTAGTGTAGCTACATGTTTCTGTAAAATATGCATGTCTATAAATACCTAAAGAATTGGGGGACCTAATTTAAATCAAGGGTTAGAAGATACCGTAGAGCAGGAAAGCTGTGAATTCACCTTCTGCAACTTTCTGGAATGCACTGATCATCTCTAGTTGAATCTGTAGCCACAGATTGAAATTGAAAATCCAGTTTTCCTAACAGATTTCTCTGCTTTCAGTTTACAACCAAGCAAGGCTCTTGGGTTAAATGTCCATTTGCTCATGGAGAATTTCCAGGTAAGTATATTTTTTTAATTACATAATATTAAATTGTGAATAATATTTAAATTGGTCACAAGATATGAGCCTTCTCCAGTAAGCAAGTGAGATGGGTTCACATCACTGTAGCTTGTAAATTATGGCAAAGAGATCTGACAGCTTGTTACTTCTATGAATCCCCACTAAATCAAGTGTTTATCAGCATAAAAAGTAACTTATAGGAATCAAAATAATTACTTGCATATCATTTGATGGCACTTAACTAAGTAAAAAGGCTTTTATTTTAGATATAACAATTTAGAATATAATATATGGTCCCTGTATGTCTAAAAGTAAGTCTTTTCCCCTAATATCAGCTTGGAAAATGAGAACTGCTATAGCTGCAGAACAAATACAAGTTTTCTTCACATCCCAAACCAAGGCACAATTCTCAGTGCTTGTGTGTAACAGGACGCAGCTGGCTTCATGTGAATCTGTTGGGATGCACCATTCAGTCTCTGTGGTTTGTATATATTATTTCTTAAACATTGTAAGACTTTTAAACATATCTAACTGCATTAATTTATTATTCCATTTATTGCTCTGCAGCTTGAAAGCATTAGTAAACCCATCCATGTACGTATTGGAACAATTACTGGAACATTTTTAAAGCATGTAGTTCTAATTCTGATCTCGCACCGAAGCAAGAAATAAATAAAGATCCTGAAGTCAAATGAGTCACATCAAAGGAAGTGACTATTGAGTGGAACCTTAATATTGTTTTAACATCATTTTTGCAGTGTATTTGTAGTATGTATATAGCAATTGTTACTGTTATATTTCATATGTGGGTCACTGATACAGCTGACCTAGCAAATCTCACATCATGAAATGTAAGACTTGAGGCAAAAATCCATGATGATCTTGAGCCATTATAAATCTCTCAGCTGCCAAAACAAACTCAACACACAAAAAAGGTAAGTTTTCCGCCAAATTAGCTTTTTGAGCAAGCTGACTGTGTGACTACACAACTGCTTCTTCCAGCAAAGTGGGGGGAAAGAGGAAAATGATTATGGGAGGGTGAGATTTCTGTTTCGGGCAGCAGCTAGTCATGAAATGGGAGCCTTATTCCTCTCTTGCAACTAAGCCTATATTTCATACATTTTCAGTGCAGCACTGTGGCTTGCCCTTGCCCTTCAACCCTCCCTACCAGAGTTACCTTGTTGGCCTGGCTTGTGATCTACTGGAAAGCGGGGTCAAAGAGCAGAAGAGTGGCCATAGCATTATTTTTCAAATAGGAGAATATTAGAAGGATAGGACCTAGGAGCTGGAGCTACTAGGACCACCATGCTGAAAGGCATCTTGCTGGTTCAGCAGCCAGCTCCTCAGCAGCCTTATATCCACCCCTAAATGTGTTCTCCTGCTTTCTGCTCCACTGAACAGGTATATAAGGTGTCATATGATGGATTTTGAGAAAGTTGAGAAATCCAGATGTTGTGATTTCTGCTCTTATTCTTGACTGTGCCCATTGACTTCACTCTGCTGTAGGGGGATGTGCTTTAGAAGACACAAGCATGCTGTAGCTCCTATACCTGTCCTCTTTTTAGGATATATTCCAGCTGTACTTCTTTATTTATTTGCCACTGTATGCAGGTACATGCTGCAACTGTGACTTTTTGAAGTACCTCTGATGCTTTCAGTGTGCAGGGTGCACATACCAGGGGGTAGCTGACAAGCAGGCAGCTATGAATAAGGACTTCTTAAACTCGAAGGGGTGGACACTGAAAGCTGAATTTATTTTCTAATGAATCAGTTTAGGTCTTTATTACATCTCTGGTGCTGAATGTAACAGAGCAGCTGTTAAAAGCAATTTTCCAACTCGGCTTTGCTGCTCAAGCTGAGGACATGCTCAAGTGGAACATGATAACTGCTCCTGCAGGAGATCCCAGAGCTTAATAATCATGGGGAAAGGCCTGGGAAAAAACAGCTATCCTAATCAACACAGACCACAGAGGGCATTGGTGGCGCTATCAAAAGTCTGTCCTAATGGGGCAAGATATCTGGGGAAATGCTGTATTACTGGCAGAGATGGAAATCTGTACGGTAGAAGAGTTGTCAAACACTATGTTCAGTGAACACTTTAGAGTGGCACTTCCCTTCAGCTGGCTTATTTCACATAAAATCTGTGGAGTTTAGACTTTCTGGTTTTAAAGGTTCCCTGTGTGAGTTACTGAGTGAGAAGTGTAATGGTGGAGCACCAATAAATCACAACTAGGTATTGAAGTGTGTGTTTCATGAAGGGCACTGATGCATTTAAAAATGCTGTTTTCTTCCCTCTGGTACAAAGCTGTTATGTCCTCTGCTACTGTGACAGAATGGGAGCCCATATAAAGTTCCTGTCTCAACACCATGAGAAATATACACAAGGTTTTCGCCAAGGCTTAGCTCTGTGTTCTCAGAAACCAGTGTTCATTCTCTACCTAGTAATCCCTGTTCAGTCATGCTCAAAAAAGAACATATTCATCTAATTTGCCCCAAATTATTTTAGGAGTTTGCCACACTAAAGATAGCAGTGTAGGATTCATAGCTATTAGTGGAGTAACTAACATTATTTTGAGGAAAAACCATAAACAATCAAACATTAAGTGTCAGAACAGTAATTTAGGACAATTTTACCTTCAGGCCAAACTTGTTCTCAGCATACAATGTGATGGGAAATCCAGAAGAATTGTAAAGAAAGGGTCATTCATTCAAGTCATGTACACCAGGGAAAAGAAGTGAAGATGCTCATTGGCTAATGTGGTGTGGACAGCCACGGTGGGGAAGGTGTTCTGCCTTATGATGCTTTATAAAATGCAGCAACATTAGCCCTCTTCCTGTGCTGCCCAAATTGTGCTTGGCAAAACTACACTGGCTGCTTATGGTCATCGAGATCTGGGGATATCTCTGAAAGTAAATAACCTTCCATAATGAATATATACTTTATTAATTTTCTGACACAGTAGAACATGTAGCATTATTGGGAAATGAGCCAAAGAGCTGAAGAGACACAATACATTTTCATTGTTCCAGGGTATGGAAAATAATAGTTTTCAATTTTTTTCTTTTCATTAGGGAGATTCTGTATCAATCACTATGTCACAGGAAATGTGTGGGTCAACAATTTGCATTCAGGTATGTGTTTCGATTTTGCCAGGTACTCTGTACAAAATAAACAAATCATAAAAAAAAAAAAAGGCAAGCCAGCAGGCACTCTCACTGCTTTCTCCTCCCAGCCAAATCTGATTACTGTGTGAACGGAGTTGGCAAAGAGCGTTATTTATAGCTTGATGTGCTGCCACCATCTCTTGTTGAGATGACATTAATTAACAGAGAAGTTGCTCTCCATGATCTTGCTCCTTTGTCAGTGGCAGATAAAGGGATATCATCAGGAAATTGTTAATCCTGTCTTTATATGTTCCTTTGTAATAAAAAGTTCCAAGGTATCAAAAGATCCAAGTAAATCATAGATAAATTTTTCAAAAATTGACATTAGCTGGAAAAGGTTAGGCATATAGCAAACAGACAGTAAGTGCACAGTATGCTAGAATTAGCACTGCTGAAAGCAGAGCTGAGCAAGTTATTTCTGATATTTTTGCACACTATTTCTGTAGCTGAACTTTATTAAGACAACATTAGTAACAAATGAGCATGAAGCTGAGGTTTATTCCTCTCTGGAGTTAATGTTCTCAGCAGACACTGGGACAAGAGAGACTGACAGCTGGAGCTGCGAGGCTCCAGCAGCTGCCCTGGAAGGCCCTTGTCAGCTTCACTTTCTGCTGCTAGGAAGAAAGGGGCAAGATGAAAGTGAGATTGGCAAGAGGCTTCTGGGTAATGAGACTTGGTCTTCTTTCCCTAGTGAAAAATCAGATTTGATGGTAAAATTGATGTTTTCCTGCATAAATAATTTTATTTTTTAAATAAGACATTATCTGTCAGAATATGGTTCTTCCACCCCCGCCCCCCCGATCTGATTAGCTTTATAATTTAGAAACCTAACAGTGATTGCAACTCACTAAATATACACTAGACCAGCAGTCTCCTTATGCATTCATTTAAAAACAGATTTAAAAATGCAGTCATTTTAGTAAACTAATAAAGCAATCTCATTTTGTCAACACAAGTGTTTAGTAACAGTTCTGCTGAGAGGGGAATAAGCCTCAATTCTTTCTTTTAAAAGGGCTGGAGGACAGATGTAGATTATTCAGTTCCACTGCAGATCTGTGATATCCACTGTGGTAAGTATGAATGATAACAAAAGAAGAATTAGGTCTTCACTGTCTAGAAAAGAGCATCTCAGGCGAAGCGTGTTTTCATTGGGACTGAGGTGGGATTCACGACTGAATGTAGATGTCTGCATGTGAGCTACATGTGCTCAGCTTCCTTTATAGACAATGGACTCATATACTTCAACTACCTTTTAATTAGCTACTGCAAGGGCAGCTTGTGTGGCTGGCTGTTTTCTCCACTTCCTGGGTGAATTTTCCATCCTGTGCCAAGTTCTACGTGCCACACCTATATTTACCTTGCTGTCAGTACATGAGGTAACTAGTTGAAACCAATCCTTGGCAAGTAGGCACACAGTGCTGTCCTTGTAGTGATTGCAGCACAGCCCTACTGTTAATTCCCCACCTCTGCAAATGGGACAGTAGTACTTCACTGCAGAAGTACGGTGAGGATATTATTATGATTTGAGGTACACTCAGATACGCTCATGGAGTCAGAATACTCTGAAATCTCCAAGCCCTGAAAGTAAGGTGTTGTAGAAGTTAGTGAGTTCAGAGCGAACTAAGGCTGTGGGGTTTACAGTGAAAAGCGCAGGAGTGGTTTGACTAGTTTAGAACTAAAATGTCTAAAAAGAGTCAAACTGATTGAAGGCTCAATCTGAGCATTGCCAAAAAACACCTCCTCAAACCCACCCAAACAACCAACCTCCCCTCCCAGTTAATTGTAAACATAGTGATTCCTATGACAGGTTTTCTCTGTTGTTTAAAAATACTTGTCTGTTAACTACGGCTTCAGATTTGGAAGCGTGATACTATAAAGGAGGGAGCTTGAATCTGTAGTCTAAATGCAGTTCTCGGTGCAAGCACTTGCATAATGCTAGTTCAGGTTTCTTCTCCACTTAAAAACTCATAACAAGCCCACTCAAGGTGAATCAATTAAATAGAGTGTTGTGATTCATGTAGTCTGGATGCATATTCTTTATTCATATTTTCCTTTTAACAAAGGTTAAGGGTATGACAAAAGCATGTAAAATAATGAAAGGCTCCAGAGATGGCAGTTTTGGAATTTCCCTCTGCCTTATTGTAGGAGAGAATGGGTCTGTGTATTAAATGAAAATGGTGGAATACTGAAAACTGAGTAAAGAACTTTTGGGGCACAGTATTTGATTTAAATGTGGAACTTTGTCACAAGTTTTTGTTCTGATCAAGAATTTGTGGAGATTTAGAAAAATAGAGAAACTCTGTGCATATCAAGAATATCAGAACTGTAATACGTGATCACTATGTTTGTTGTATAGAGGGTACTAACCTCATGCTTCATGGATTCTGCCATACTTTATATTTTTGGAATAATGCAGTCCATATTAGTGGGTGGATAATTCCACCTCTGACAGCTGACCAAGAGGGGGTTCCCAAAACCTCCCTCTGAGGCAGATGGTACAGGTCAGTGTCAGAGTCGGGACATTGAACTAGGTGTGTTCAACTCATTACTGCAATTCCCGTGTTCTTAATGACTCATCAGGACCCATCAGCTGCTTGTCATGTGTAAGATTGTTAATGTAACAGTAATAGCATTACTACTAAGGACTTTTGTATTTTTAAATGCTTATTTTCTATAACAAAGATATTTTCTCAAGCACTAGCTTTTCAAAATCAGGAGATGATGAAAGTTTCTTAAAGACAGTGTCACCAAGGGTGATAATTCTTACACTGGGATGCTTGCTATTGTGCTTGAACCTAAGCTGTTAAGAAAAACAATCCACATAAAGATGAAGGGAATATTAAACCTAAGATTTGTCCATAATTTGTGACAATTTGGATTATACAAAATGTCAAAGTAAATGAGACATAGTCTTATAATGGCATAGTGAAAATATTTACTGCATATATGTTTGTAAAATAGAAATTTACATTGTTTTAAGTATCACTGTTAAAGATACCAAGCAGCATCAGTGTGTCCAAAAGAGCTGTGATGTTATGTTATTAAGATGTATTTTGTTACTCAGGACCAAGATTCCAGTGATGACAGTATCTATTATAAAAAAATCAGTGTAGCTAACCATCATGAAGGCTACTCCCTTTCCAGATGCAAGAAGAGTTTTGTGGCATGAAGAATGCATTATACTGCAATGCATTGCATTTTTCTATCAGTAGCTGTGCTTTGGAATTAAAGTGGCTTAGCCTTATTTGGTCTCCAGGGGATGGAAATGGGAAAATCTGGGTTTTCTTTCATTTAATAGCTTTGACTTAGAAATAAAACTTTGTGTTCTTTTGAAATTTTATTTTTCCTTTGGCCACTTTTCTGGATTCTGTTTAATGTAGCCAAATATTTTGAGACATTATTTCACCTATTAAAAAAGAAACTTCTCTGTTCTGAATGAAGGAATAATCCAAATCGGTTAATTTGAGAATAAATATGTGAACCGTAATGAAAACAAAATGGCAACCTACATTTGAACTTGTTTCTTCAGGTTTTTGTGGTCAGACATACAGTGATGGAAACTCAGCAAAGGCCATGACACACAGGTATCCATCCAATGAATAGTTTAAAACATCTTTGAGAGTTGATAGAGTTGCTAATCCTGAAAACATATAATTGTCCTCTCTAAAGAACAGAAGCAATGTCTGAGTAAATTTTGTACTAGCCAGCAGGAATATCAGGTTCCTATCTCTGCCCTTTCCTTGTCCCCACTGAAGACATCTCTTGCTTCTGTGCTTTCTCTCCTCTTGCTCTCTCTCTATTGCACCACAGTGCAGTCTGGCATCAGAGGTAGCTGCCTTGCTGCCAAAGAGAGAGGACAAAGGGAGACAAATAACCAGTGGAAGTAGGAAGTTTGTAAAGTAACAAGACAACCTTCAAGAGCCCTGGAACAATCTCAGATTTGCTGAGCGTGACATTCACATTATTAGCACCTGCGCCCTGCTTTCTCCCTGACATTTGCAGGCAGATAGTCCCCTTGTGCTCTCACTCATTACACGTGTCTCCTCAGCTGTTCCAGTGCTTCTTTTCATTCCCACAGCCCTTTGCAAAACACCTATTCCTAGGTTGTAAACAAATCAGTAATTAATGCAGCCCATGGATATATGATTTGGTAGAACCTGAGCTCTTAAAAATGCTTTTCCTTTAAGGATACCCTTTCAGAGGCAACCTAGAACTCCAGAGAGAGTAGAGATGCTCCGAAAAGCCCTTGTTCAAAGATGAGAAAAAGATGCAGGCTTACAGAAGTTATGCAAGTCATGTGGTTGAGAAGTGGCTACCATCTTTGCTTTGAGGCAGTCTTTGGCTTTTCCCTTGCCAGAAGATACCATTCAGAATAAAGTATCTTGGTTTTGTTCCTCTGTACATATGAGGGCTGTTTGGACTGTGACAGTCAAGTCCACAAGCTGTAGACAAATGGTTACATTTGTTATTTAACTCCAACTATACATGAATGCAATGAAGTCTCTCACACTTCAGAGAAAAAAAAGCCAATCTTCTTTCCTCTTCTGTTTTCCCCCTAGAATGAAGAGAGTGCATTCCTTGCATTGAATTTTACAACACATTTTCAAGGTCCTTAGTATCTTCTCAATGTCAAGTTGTATTTTGGAGTAACTTGCAAATCTTGTCTAACTGGTCGTCTCTCATGTTAGTAGTTTCTGCTAATTACTGTGAGATTATTCTCATGAGTGAAGAATTTAGCAAATTAAGCCTATTTTATGTCCAAAAGAAGCTGGATTATGATTCCTCATTTCCCGGTATCTCAAAACAAAAAATGTCTTAGATCACTTAATTAGGGAATCAGGTTTACATTTTCCTTCTAAATTAATATTTTATATACAATATGCTATAAATGAGTACTTTCATAGTACCTCGTGTACCTATAGAAGAAGTATTTCAGATTTTCTTATTTGTAACCCTCATTTTTAAACCATAAGAAAAAAGTTTTTGAGAAATGAAGAATGGAGGAAGTTTTCTCAGCTTTGTTACATTATCCTTCTTTGCAATTTCCTTTGTTTTCCGATGCCATTCTGATTATCTCACCATAACAGACCATATTCCGTAAATATGTCTGACAACTGCTTTCTGTGTTTGCATTTGTATTTGACTTTGAGATAACTTTCCTATTTGTCTGAGGAAGTACATGTCTTTGGTTTGATAGCTATTTAAAACTGTCATGTGGAAATCCAGCCTAGAAGGAAACAGTTTAGTGGAAAGAACTGAATATTTTTTTTCCATTGTATCAGTATTTATATTCAATTGTTGAGAATAATATTACACACTGTACTGATTATCAAACATTTGGCCTTTATTTCACTGAATACTCCTGTCAAACATCCTTACTTCCTGTTGTGTAACAAGGAAATAGTCAACTAAAAGATGATTAATAGCAAATCCTGAAACCATGTGGAATTGCTCATGTGGGACCAGGAATATGGGTGGGGAGTGAGGGTCTGGAACAAGAAGTTGATCAATAAAAAAATATTTTCCATCTGAATGTGTTTTTTTGTTTCAAGACTTTCAAAGAGCAATTTACGGGAGACAAATAGGGCGTGAGACATATCTGCTGTGTTGAAACACAAGGTCTTTGAGGTGCCCTGAAGAGGACAAATTCTGCTTGGCTCCTCTGATATCAAAGCTTCATTGTGTAGACTGCACATCCATTAGATATATTTTTATTCCAAGCAGTGCTACAGCTCCAAAAGCAGAGGCGGTAAGGCAGCTTTCCTAAAGCATTTATTTACTTGCTTTGGCTGTGAAATAGAAGCACTGATCTATTCAGACATCTGCTTTTCCTTTAATACCCTCCAGACTGCAGCCAGAAACAAGACATTCAGCTATTCTACTGAGAGAGCATCATAACTTTACTCTCTTCACTTTCCTCCAGTGGAAAAGTCTTCTTGGTAGGAAAGCTTGATTTGTACAGTGTTCTTTTTATTGCCTCAAAGTCTTAAGATCAACTTTTTGAATATGTCCTCAGACTGAAAATGAAGTAAAATTATACAGGTGTGGCAGGATCTGAAAACCAAGTGTAGCTAAGACAAGTGACAAGTTCATATGAGGTCCTGAAGCAACAATAGCTGTACTGAAGCTGGATGCTTTCAATGATAAGATCCTGTTTCAGCTGCACAGACACTAAATCTCGTGCAGTGTATCTTCTCTTACTGGCTGCAGCGATGGAAGTACCAAAGAGAATGTGACCAGCCATGGTCCTGATCACTTTGCTGCTGTTTCACAGGAACGCTTGAATGATGAACATAGCAGACATGTCACTTAATTTAACTGCCTGAAAGTGAAGTGTTCATTCCATGGTAGTAGTCAAGGCTCCTATGATAGCCACTGCAAAGAGACAGGTACTTCCCAAGCATATTTCATTCTGCTTGGATACTTGTTTTAGAGGGAGCCTGGACAACTTAGCCTAAATGCTTACCATTAAGACATTCCTGCTTTTGGCAATGTTTGCAAATAATTCCTAATAGTATTTCCATACTTTGGCTCAGGTCTGCCTGTTTGCATTTGTGTAGAGAGAAAATTTACTGGTAGCTTTTCTGATTGACTCCCAAGCTGATCTTTAAGAGTCCTGTTTCTAATTCACTACCTCAGGTAAACATTGTCTCTTCTGATCACAAAATTCCTGCTCCACCTGAGACCGTCTCTTCCTGCTCCCTCAAATAGTGATTGGGCCACCCTATGCATGTAACGCACTGGAAGGAGTTCTACTCAGGTGGTGCCTTTTCTAGAGAAGTTAGAGTTCTGCATTACTAAGCTACTAGGCACTACTGTCCTTGTGACATTACAGCTGCAAAAATAAAGTGGTTTTTTTTTCTTTTTCACAAGGGATTTTAAACATTGATAGGTCAATCCTGAAAGAAGGTATGAGAATTTTTCCCAACTCTAAAAGTATTAATTTCACTCTGCTGGCCACTGAAATGTTTTCTTTTTCTCACCCAAACTATGCAATAATTTTGCAATATTGACCAACACACAAGTAAACATGCTGTAATAACAGCCAAATGCAAAAATCCCCTAGGTGATTGCCTACAGAGTTGGCTAATTCTGTAAAGCCTCCATTCTTTTGTTGAAGGAAATTCCCTTCTTGCTTATTGTGGCCCCAGTCCAATCACCCTATTTTGAGACAACCTGCAGTTATTGGGTTTTCATTTTGTATGTACATTCTTACTATTATCACAGAGCATCAATGTCCCAGTTTTTCTGAGATATCAGCATATATCAGAATATCATTGAGGTATAGCAAAAGCACCGATAGATGCTTTGTAGTAATCTCTTGAAAAGACTTCCAGTTGTGTCTAGTGCATTGCACAAACCTGAAACTAACATTTAAAGTTACCACAGAAATTAAAGCAGTTTTCCTCCACTTATTTAGGGACTTATTTTCACTTGCCACACTCACACTGGTTCTGGCGTGGGAAACCAGACTGATGCTGCTGCAGCATTTTGGATGTCTTTATTTGCAGTAGTGGATGCATTTCCTTGATAGCAAGTTACAGTTGAGTGGCATGCTTGAATTGCCACATCCTAATGAGTAGCTGTGTATTCACTGAGCCATAATAATAGTCACAGCAGATCTAGTCCAGTGCTCTGCAGGCTGTATTCCTGACCATCTCTGTTCTGGACTTCTGATAAATTACTTCAGAGAAATAAATGGGAAGAGAAATAATGGCTACTTTTGTAGGGTTAGTTTACTGCTGAATTCACTCCTTGAACTACAAAGTCAGGCATATGTGAGCCAGCAGAAGGGAAGCAGCCCAGCTGTAGCAGAGTGGAAACGGTGCTGCTCCTGCTAGTTCCTTAGGTAGCAGATTGCCTGAACTGTAATGTAACACTGCAACCTGATCACGTACCTGTGCTTATAGCAAACAGAAAAAAATGTATTTGCTTCGAATTACTTTGAAAAGTTGCAATGAGCAAATTCCCCTTGCTCATATCCTGTAGCAGCTGGCCTTAAAAAATGGTGGCTTTATCTTATATCTCATATGCCGTGTAAGTTTTTTATTGTACACAGAAATATCTTTCCTGGATTAAGAAAACAAGTTCTCTCTCTTATCCAGAAGCCCTTTAGTGCAAACATGTAATGCTGCTGTGTTTAGTGCAGTACTGGAACAAGTCCAGTAGCAATGGTGGGAGCTATTACTCCCAGCCCTCTTCTGGTTTTCTACTGCTCCAATCCATTGTCAGTATCACTGGCTCACATTTTGCAGGAATAGGCCCTTTAATGTGGCACTAAGTGCCACTTCTAAAAAACTTTAACTAAATGAGCAAAGGTCAGTTCCTGTATTGGATTCACAAAAACTCTAGAAATTACGATTTCCTAGGAACCGTCAATGTCAAGACTCTCCATCTTACATTGGACTAAATGACTCCTTAATATATAGCTGATACAATAAAAACAGGAGATCTACTGAAAAGCAGATGATAATTTCTCCAGACCGCATCTTTCAACAGGTGGAATTTGCAAGATGTATTTCCTGCCATTGACTACATTCTGACTAATGAAACCTAAACCATCCTCTTTTAAAGCTGTGTAAGTTCCTATCTAAGTTCTAAAGGTCCAATTTTCAAAATCAGCTTGGGATAGGATCGTATTCCACATTGATATCTCCACATGAGTTCTGTAAGGTTTTGGACCTTTTCATATCGTAGCCAATATAATTAAAAAACTATTGCCTTTGAGCCAATAGCCACTATTCTCATATATTTCACTTCTTCTAGTACATGCTTAGTGGCTGAACACCCACCGCAGAGGTTTCCAAGCTTTACTCTCATAGCTTATATGCATACGTTCTGAAGCTGGGTTTGCGCTTGGCCAACACTTTTTGCATGAGAGATTCTCTGATGGGATGTGTTTGGAAGAAAAAAGGATGAAAGGCAAAAGAAGGCTCAGAGATAGAATGACTAGATAAAAGATGGGGAGAATGTGCTTTGAGCCATTTATGGGCACAGGTAGGGAGAAGCACTCAGCAGGAAACAGTGTATGTGAAGCCTGCAGAAGGAAGCCCATAAAGGGTAAAGGATCAAGTGGACATGCAGAAGTGGAGGCAGGGATGTCTGGAAGTGGGCTGGGGGAGATGGACTGGAGGGGCAAAGAGTGTGAGGCAGGAGACGGAAGGGGGAGGTAAAGCCAGCCAGCCCAGGTGTGATTCACATTGCTGGCTTAGACCTACTCCTCACCAGAACATCCAGGTAAAATGGGAATGAGTGGAGAGTAACCAGGCATGTACTGCTCTGCATCCAGTGCATACATTTGCCCCACCTGGTTGCTTCTCACCTTCATTCCTGTCTTATGCTACCTTGTCCCCTCCCTCATGGAGCACAATGTCATGGTGAGCGGGAGACAAACAGACCCAGAACATCCTTGTATGACAGGGAGTCCTCTTCAGTGTACCTGTGGGCTTCTTACCCATAGGACTTTACAGTTTGGCGGGTCCTCAGCAAGTCATCTTACGCCTCAGCTTCTAAGTGCAGAGCATGAGTTAGAAGGGGTGTGGGAACAGCCTGTCTTTTTTTTTTTTTCTTCTTCTTCAATAATAACA